GGCAACATCGGGGTGCGGGGGCCGCGGGGGGCGGGGAGGGCTGGGCACGGCCCGCCCTCGCCATTGTCCGCGGGGCGCGGGGAGGGGGCGCAGCCCCGCCGGGGTGACTCAGCACGGGGGGACCGCTCCCCGGGGGCTCCGGGTGCCTTCTCCGTTTCCACCATAACAAAAGTTACGTGGGGCGGGCGGCCCCGGCCTCTCCTCCTGTGCGGCGGCAGGAGACTCGGGTCTGCACAGGAGACTGTGCAGGGACTCGGGTACGGGGGAAGGACGCGGGCCAGGGCCGCCGCTGCCGTTTCGGGGCCGGCATCCGCGAGCTGGAACAAAGGGCGACCGGGCCCGGGGCAGCGGGTACAGACCCCCGGGGTGGCGGCGGGAGAAGCAGAGGGGCCCCGCTAGCCGGCCCGGCCCTGCGGCGGCTCGCGGGACAGCGGTAGTGTTGTGCGCGGAGCCCAGAGCAGGCGGCGGGCGGGCGCTTTACCGAGTGCGCCACACGGCCGCGGCCTGGGGCGGGCCCGGCCTTCCCCGCGGGGCAGCCCGAGGGGGCCGCAGCGATGGGAAACTTGTCAGTGGCGCTGCCGTGGAGGGGTAACACGGAGCACCTGCTCTGCTGCCTAAGGGCCGTTTAATCGTAACGGTGCTTTTAAACTTGCCAGGGGGTACGAGCAGCTGTGTCCCAGCTGAGCGTCTCCTGCCTGCCGAGGGCTTTCGGGGTTCTCCTTTCTGTGGGGTTTTTTTCCCCCCTTAAATTCTTTTGGCTTAATATTCATTAAATGAATGGAAGAGAAGCCGAATAAAACATTCAGTGCTGTGTGGCATGGTAACATGCCATTCTAAAGAATCCTCTGGTTCTTTAGAAGTTTAGGGCCTAAACTTGCCGAAGGATCTGAATATATTGAATCTGCGACTCATGTACAGAAAAGTGCTGGAGGTTCATTTTTGTTGGGCAGGTTGCAGTTATAAGTGAATTTAAATGCCTTTTCAAGATAGAACTGAATAGTGGCATATTGAAAAACTTTGGGTGAAAATAGCATGTAAGGAAGATAAAGCCTGCTGCTTTTTTTTGCTCTTTGTATGAAAGTTTCAAACACCATGGTATAAGTTGAATATTTCAGTACTGAAAGATGAAAATATTTATGCAAACCAGGCAAGTCTAATAATAATCATGACCAGAGTCTCACTTGCCTTAAAGTAACTTTATTAAATTAAAGGCGAATTGTTAGGTGGCTCTTCTAGTTTTCACAGTTAACTGTTATGAGAAGTCCCTTCTGTGGTTATGGGACAGGTCTTTGTTTTACTGGATACTTGTAATACATAAGATTTTGGGGGTTTGTGGTAAAGTAAACAAGATGTGTTGGTGTTCTTGTATTCAGACATGACCCTTCAGATAATGGATTGTGTGACTTCCTATAAATATTTTTGTTTAGGAGAGTGTGTTCCATTGCAGAGAAATTTGGCTTTTTGTTTCCACAAAATGTGATCTATTTCATAAGTTTTGCTCTAAACAATAAAATGATGATTGTGCACCCTTAGTTGTTAGCTGCATTTGATGGGTTATTTCTTCTTTGTGAAGTCACAGCTAACAAGTAAGCCAGCAGTAAGACCTGAAGTAGTTGTGCCCAGGATTTGTGCTGTGTTTATCTACTTCTGAGACTGCTTTCATTTTAACTACTTTCAATAGTAATTCTTACTGTGAAGAAATGCGCCCCCTTATCTGTAGGCCTTTGGCTGAGGTGTGTCTGAGCAAGCAAGAAACCACTCAGGTCACTTTTGTCATGTTCGTGTTAATGAGGAAACAGTGTCTGCAATCTGCTGTTACAGTCACTTGCCCCAAAATTCAGGAGATCTTTCACACGCCATTAGACTTGTGGTGCATGAACTTGCAAAAAGAACAGGAAGAGTGCTGTTTGAAACCTCAGACCTGAGACTTCTGCTTTCTTGAAAGTTCTGTTTACAGTTGTCTGTGAGCAGCTTGGTGCTTTCTGATGTTGCCTAATTTTTTGCTCTTTGAGGCAGGTGGTTATTTTCCCCATCTGCTAAAAATAAATGGGATAGGGCAACCTGGTGATATAGAGGTGGGTCCCTTGAAACAAATGGGCAGCAAGTGACAAAGCCAAGAAGAGAAAGCTCATCTCTGGGTTTCTGTCCTAGTTCTTTGACATACATTTTAGAACTCTTAAGTGTCACAAAAGTGCTTTGGGTTTTTTTTCTCCCCCTTCCCACTGAATGGAGTCTCCTGGGCCTAACTCCTGATTGCCTTCAGATATTTTTGGGGGTTTTTGTGAGTAGTGTAAACTAGAAGAGCCTAAGTCTTGTATACTCTGCTTCAGTGGCTCTGTAGCTACTGGGGGAACTACAAATAGCAGTACAAATAGCAGTAGTAGCATGCAAAGACTGGTAAGGCTATAAAGTTGCTGGTCAGTATGTTTTTTTGGGGAGAGTCTCTGCATCAGAAGCTACTGTCTTGGTGTTCTGAATTTGCAGAGCAAATATGCAGTTTTCACTGTTTGCTTCTTCTAGTCGGTTTAACCCCTACGATAGTGATCCAGCCAGAGTATTTCCTTAACTCAGCAAAAGCATACAGTGGGTTGTGTCTGGATGTTCAAGAATCCCGTTAAGGAAGAAGAGTAAGCCTAGCACTCAATCACCACTTTCCTTTGTGGTTCTGTTAGTATATGTCAATATTTTACATAAAATGACAGCTGTCTAGCAGTGTGTAGAGATGCTGAGGTTACGGGATGGAGAAACATCTGGTAGGGAAGGAAGCTTTCAGCATCTAAAAAGACATCTGACAACTAAGTTGGCTCTGATATTCCCAACAGATCTTTTTTCTCTCCAGCCTAGAGGGAAGAGGAAATATTCCTCTGTAGAAGTGAGGGAGCATATATGGTTAGGAACTGTGTATGTCTCCACAAGTTTTCTAGACTAAAATTGATGGTTTGAGAAGTCTGCCACTGGCATTTCTCACTGAGATGATTTGCTAATTGTCTCTGAAGTATAGAGAACTATCAAAGTTCTACAAACTATAGATTTAATAAATAAATATTAACTATAGATAGATTAAATATATAGGTTAACCTATAATATTGGCTATAGCATCTCAGGGATATTGTACCTGTGACACTGACCACTGCTTGAAATTAAAGCAAGAATTACTTTATTTGGTAGCTCTTCTGTTTATAAATGGTAACCAGACTTAGACTAAGTCTGTCATTCACTATTTCTGGTAGTGACCTGTGTTAGAGCTTACATGGTTAATCAGATTATTTCAAGAGGCATTTCAGGGTGGAGTCACCCCTGTCAGAAACATTACTGCTTATTCCTGAGAACTGTGTAGTTATTGAACTTGTTCAGGCTGTGTACCTTCACATTCCCATTTTGTTGTGCCAACAGCAGTGTCTCCATTTGGAGTTTTCTTTCTGTTTTTCTCAGGTTTCCTTTTTAGTTAACAGCACTATTCCAGTTGATCAAGTTCAATAAATCTTGTCCTGTTCCTCATGTTTTTAAATAGTAGCAAACCTATGGCCTTACTTATAGGAGTGTTTTTATTGATCATGACTTTAGGTAAGTGTCCTTCAATACAGTCTCTGGTTTTACTTTGGTACCTTACCAGACTTAGATCATAATATTGCAAAGGGTGTGTTAGAATTATTCTACAGCAAAGTATTTTCCTTTTTATTTCAAGGAAAAGGACTAGTTTGGATTGCTGTAAAACATTTTGTATTTTTTATGTCATCTCTTCAATGAGAAACTGGATATTAATATCTCTCCACCCATACACAAAATTCCTATTGAAATTCTACATCCTTAAGTGACCCTTGCAGATAGAATGGGGGTTGTGCCAATTCCAAGTGGAAGCAGGTTTGCCCTAAACAGATACAGGGCTGTGATGTGCAGTGATATCCTTCATACTGTAGCAATTCTGTTCAGGTGATGTGGCTGACTCAGTGAACTCCTGCTTCTCTGTTGGAAAGAAGCATCTTCTGCTGACAAATACCCTGCTGCTAAATCAGGGTTAGACACTGCTATGAAAGACTTGAAAAGGTTGCTGCCTACACATAACTGCAATTGATGGGAGAAGACTTTATTTTCCCTTAAAACCAGAATGGATAAAAAGATACTACCTGTGAAGGTTTAGACAAGTTTGGTATATACAGAGTGAGTGTATTGGAACTTACCTGGGGCAGTTCTTCAAAGGCATCACTCATGCAACTATTATTTAACATAACATGCAATAGAAATTGACCAGGTTTAGTATTGTTTTATTTATCAAACCAAAGTTAAGCTAACAAAAAAATTGCTAAAAGAATAGCAAGGGTATTAATTTCTCTTTTTATGTCAAAACTGCAGTTGGAAAAAGAATATTGCAAAAAGGAGTAGGAAGAATAATTTGTGTCTGGAAGACAAGACCTTTCTGACACTACAGTCTGGTTGTGTGATGTGTGAAAGGCTGTAACCAGTACTTCAGGACTTTAAAAGATGGTTCTGTCCTCCCTACAAGGTATGAAGTGCTCCTAAAATATCCTAGGAAGCCACAGTGGTAGGCATCAAATAGAAAAGCTGGCATATGTTGAGGTCTCAATCTACGGTAAATTGTGCTCATTTCTAATGGATTGCTCATGTGAGTTGATACAGTAACCTTAGAACTGGGATTGTTGTGGTCCTTGAAAGAGCTCTCTGTGCACTTTGATGGTTAAAGAAGTTTTGTAGGAAAAAGTAAGTTATTTTTACTCAACATCCTCCCTCCTGTGAGCTGCTCAGGAGGTGTTGTGTATTGATGCATTGTTGATATTCTCAACATGTATTGAAAATTGCAATTGTTAGTAAGAATGAGGTGTGATGGTGCCTCGAGCAGTCTGTAATAGTGCTGTTTCTTGTATATCAGCAGAGGCTATGTGCCTTGTGAGGTGGCTGAAATTGAGTTTGCT